GTTGAAGTTTGAAGTCCAGATAAAGGATGCATTTAATAGGTGAGTTAGACTCGCCAGAATAAAAATTACAGATGCCAACAACGACCAGTCAACAACTGCAGACAAATTATGTTCTTAGATTTATTTTCAATTAAAAATACATTAACTGATAAGACGACAAAAAGTCATGCATGTCAGAAAATGTATCGTAGTACCTGGTTGTTCCACCAGGTGGAGCCTCTTCCTGTTTAATAATGGGGACCAGAGGAGGCGTCCTCAGACTACAGACATTTCATGTTGGCAAGAAGAGAGCATTGTGGGAGTTTTGCCAGCAATGGGCACCATGACAAAGACTTCTGTGGAGGTCTTGACCTCTAGACAAGTTGGACTTCACTAGTTCAGGATCGCTACAGCCCAGAAATAAATATAACTGACCGGGTTGCAGATAATTATTCATATTTATTTGGACACAAAAAATGTCTGCATATGAAACAGTGTCCATTATATAGTTATTATTATTATTATTATTATTATTATTATTATTATTATTATTATTATTAGTTGATCTGGGATTGATTGATATCACTGCTGAGTGTCTTTTACAGAAATTTGCATTTGCTGTTTCTGGTGTAACTACAGATATTTTCAATGTCATTTCACCGAGTCAACACTCTAATTCAGGGTATCTTTAATTACAATTTATCAAGGCAGAATTCAGTTTGAGAATTTGCAGTTGTATTCTGAACAGTTCAAACTGAATTTAAGAATCTTAAGAAGACAATGTTGATACGTTGATTAAAGACCTTTTTTTAAGTTTTTTTAACATTTAACAGCTGGACTCAAAATACGTTGTCAGATAGTCAAAAAGAACGTTTCAGATCTCTGCATCGTCATTCTTCAAAAACAAATTTCACTTTTACCATTTGTGTGTTTTAAATGAAAGATGCAGATATCTGCATCTGAATCATAACTAGTATTATTCCAGTGCAGATATCTACAGTTTAATTCTGACTTGTCATAATTCTAATTCATCATATCTCCAATGCCTTTTGAGATTCTTAAATTAAATTTTAGGCAGAATGACGCTGTATAGATCTCACAATGACTTCTGTCTGGTCAAAATGAAATTACAAATATCTTCATTTAGAGTTTTGACTCTGTAAAATGGTATTGCAGATACTTGAAGTTACGTCAAACCTTTGGTGAGCAGATCGCAGACATGGCAACTGTTTTAACAACATGGAATTAAAATTACAGGTATCAACTACATTATTCTGAAGAGTTACACTAGCAAGAGTTTTTCTTCCAGTGATGTATAACTTTATTCTGACCACTTGAACCTTTGCGGTGCGAAGCCTTTGAAAAATTGAAGCTTAAATGGGACATTCTGAGGCTATCTGAAGGAGAAATTTTAGCTCATGAAACCTCAGAAATCAAGACATTATCAACTGTTGAGCAGTTGTTGTTTGGTTAGAATTGTAATGCAACTGTGCTTTGTAAATGAAAACATGACAAATACTAATATTGGCAAAACTTCTATTTACTAGTACTTGGAATGTTCTTACATGCTCATACTGCACCATGATACACATACATGTACTACTACGGCAGCGTGTAAGAACATGGCCCAAGTGCTACTAGCCCTGAGAGGTCTTAGCCTGTTTTTGCTGTTTTTGCATACTTTTAGTTTTGTCTTTATATACCACATAAGAACATGTTTACCATGCCCATGCTTGGTATCATTTTTTTTTTTAGCACAACTTTCTCTATATGATCTGACCATTATTTTTTCACTTTAACCAACTATATTAACATTTTGAGCTCAAAAACACACAAAAAATACAAAATTCGATTTGAAGAAATGCTTAACGAAGCATTTTAAAATTAGAAAATGTAACTATAGGTTGCAGATGTGAATTTGAAAAGGTAAATTTAATATAAAATCAATTAAATACAAATATATACAACTATATATGCAACTACACTACTCACAATAAGTTATGAATATTGTGAGAGACTCAGTGGATTTCATACATACAGTCTTTGTTTCACTTCAGAGATTTCTGGGACAGGGAGGCTATTGTATTGGGGTGATAGACACACCTCATTTTGTGTTTTCCATGTAATGGTCTCACTGTGTACAGTGTGCCTTACATATTGGGGCCAATACCAAAAAACTAAA